CACTTATCTAGGTGTTAGAGCAAACACCCCACCGGTTAAATAAACTCTGAGAAGTTTTGCAGTCATTGACTGCTAATGTAAAGTTCACATACTGTAACCACCACAGGATTACATCACTGTTTGCTCACCTCCTGAACACATAATTAGCACAGTTAAGTGTTTGTGTTACCAAACTGTGAAACCATTAATGGTCCTGCATTCCTTGAATCATTAACTGTTCTTGGAATTGAAATAAAAAAGAAAGGTCTTTATGAGTATTTGTGTCTGATCATAGTGAATATGATGTATTAATGACCTTTTCTTTTTCTCCAAACACAAGCACTTTCACAAGAAAACAAACATCCTCTTTCACAAATCCTTCCCTGGAGCGTCCGTCTGGCAAAGCCACTAAAACACTGTTTAAAGCCGCAATCCATCATTTGAACGCCCGGCTGTGCTCTTGAATTGTGATACACTAATCCATAGCAATTTGATGCAGATATCTTTCATACTGTAACATCATTCAGTTTTACAATCTGGCAGTGTTGTTATTGTCATAATGGATGGCTTACCTCATTTCCTCCTCAATTATAAGAAGTGACACAGGCCAGCACATTCTTCTTCAATTTTTGTGTGTGTGTGTGTGTGTGTGTGTGTGTGTGTGTGTGTGTGTGTGTGTGTGTGTGTGTGTGTGTGTGTGCGCATGTGTGCGCATGTGTGTGCGTGTGTACGTGTGTGTTCCTACAGTTGCTGAAGGAAATGAAAGCAATAATAAATTCTAGTCAGAACTTGCTCCCCCTGCAAGACTCTGTGAAGGGCAGCCTGACATAAGCCTCTTTCGACTTATGAAGTGAAATCCAACAATAAGACAAGACATAGAAATCTGCATAGACAAGCTTTTGTTCTTCTGCTATCCTGTTTCTTAAGGCTGCAAATGGTTTCCTTTTTTAACAAGCTCTTTCGTGAAGTGGAGTCAATTCACAAAAATGAATGCCTGAAATTACAGCGAATATTTTAGATTTGGCTTTGCATGTCATGCTATCAGCCAAAATGAGGAGAAAACCCAGACATAGGTGCAGACAGACAGATTAAAATGTGTGATCCTCCAGTGGCCATGTTATCTGTCTCCTTCAAGGTCTCAGCCTCAGACCATAAAGGTCTTTCTCCCTTTCTGCTCTGTGTCATTTTGTTGGGCAGAGGGAGGGTGTAAATGTCGCCAGTCTCCGCTGAGCTGCTCTCAGCGCCCAGCAGTAGACCGGAAATTGGTGCAGCTCCCAGCGACGGAGCTGAGCCTTGCACTGTGCCGGTGAAAATAAAAGGTAAAAGGCTGCCAGCATCAATCAGCTGCAGGGAACATAGAGGAAAGAGAGGGAGCATCCTCCTCCCCTGCTGTGGCTTCCTTTCACAAGAAGTGCAAGCCCCCCCCCCCTCTCAGGGCTGTCTGAAAGGGCAAGATGTGGAGGAAGTCCAAAACTGAATCATCCTATCATCCCCTATTTGTGTAAGTTGGTCTGTGATACTGTGACTAAGGTCACTTTCATGTGAGCTGTAATGCCATTTCACAAATAGTAATATTTGGTTAAACAAAACCTGATACTGGAGGAAGTATCATCTTTACACAAGTAGCTCATAGATTTTCACCTTTGTTTGCTTTTGTAGCTGCTGGTTTTGTATGATTTCATACATTTCATGACTGTTCCCCTTTATGTGTATGTGTAAAGACAGTCCTACTCATCCCATGACTTATTCTGTAATGCTGTGAGGTCCACATTTGTACTTTCTAAATGAACTATCTCACCATTGGATGGATTTCCACAACGTTTGCTAACAACATTCTGCGCCCCCTCAGGATGAATTGAAAAAACTTTTATGGCCCCCTGACATTTCATCTGGCACCAACATCAGGTCAACATTTCTATTTGTCCGATACTTTGGTTTAATGCAAACTAATGACATTCCCATCAGCCTCAGCTCTACTTTGCAAGCATTTAGTGAAAATAAGTAAATGTAAGCATGCTAACACACAAGACTAAGAGTGAACATGGTAAACATTTTACCTGCTTAACATCAGCATGTTAACATTGCCATTGTGAGCATGTTAGCATGCTGATGTTAGCATTTAGTTGAATGAACCACTGTGCCTGCATGACAGTAGACATAGCTCTGTTAGTTGTTCTACATTTAAAACAAGCCAGACCTCTTGTATAAACAACCTTTGAGGCAGTGTGATTAACTGACTATTAAGAAATTATGGCCCCAAACCATAGTTTAGTCATGAATACAGTTCAAGTGAGGAGTGCAGATACACATTCCTGGTTGTCCCGCTTCTTTGTCTGTTGAATTGGATGCCTCTCTGCCTGTCTGGACAATGTTACACTGTCAGTGATGTTCCACTGCAAGGATCCTTGCCAGATATCTGCAAGGCTCAGACACTCCTACTTCTTCCTCGCTTCTTCCTGTGTCATCCTGATAGACAGTCCTGGTAGTGCAATGGTAACAAATGATTGACAGGTAGACAGAGGGGGTTAGTGCCTCACTTGACTTGAAACAATTTCCTCCTGTCATAGTACATTCCTGTGTGCCACTTTGAATAGCAATAGTGTGTTAATGCAGTCTGCTATGTCAGCGTTTTAACGGCAAGCTATGTGTTACAGACGCTTCAACTGTTTACCGTATCGCTAGAAAAAGTGCCAATAGTTGTGGAACATTTATGAAATCTCAAAGAGATCTCATATTCATGCGAACAAACCAGCGACAGGAAGTTACTTTCTCAGAAACCTTACATTAGCAAAGATAAACAAGATTTAAAGTGGATGTCTTAAAGACAGGATAGACCATAGATAGAACCAGTAGTCAAGGGACTTTTAAGTAGGCCTAATGATAAAATATGTGGCCAGCTGGACAGAGGACCTCTTTGGGAAACTTTGGTTTGCATGAAAATCTGTTTTCTCTAAAGCACAGTAAAAGCAGTTTTAAAATAGTACCATAAATAACAGCTTTGGGGCATCTCTGAATTCCTCCCATGAAAAAAAAAGAAATCTTGAGGTGGTTTCCCATACCCACAGGAAGCAGTGGGTGCCTTAAATATTCTGACGGTTCTCTGACAAAGACCAGGGTCATGATTTTCCACATGGCTCTGCTATCATCGTCTTAAATAAGAAAACAGCCACAGTAGCGTTTTGAAAAAGTGGAAAGTGGTGCTCCATACAGATCTCTCCCATCATTTGTCTCGGGGTTACACTTGTCAGTTGCAGATTTAAAAATGTGCTTTGTAGATGCCCAAACATACATAGAAATCAGCATTATTCAACAGCTGTCCACTTGTTTGCGGTCCAGATGTTTTTAGGTCTGATTGCAACCTTCCATTCAGCCTGGCAGATTATGTTGTGCTCATTTCTAAAGTATGATGCCCCAAAAAGCACTAAAGCATAACATCAATGGTAAGCTAAGGGACAAGTATTGTGCTCTGAAAATGCTGCACACTGAAGACATAGTTATGTTCTTCTGTAGTTTGGATTTGTTTGACTGATCACCTGAAAAATAGTGAACAAGTTGAATCACAAATGAAGCATAAAAGGATTATATCTCACTGATGGAAGGAGAGAGTTTAACTATTGCACTAAAGATTGTTTGACATCTCTACTCTGTAAACATCAGCCACAAATTCAATCTGGTTGATCTTTCACCTCTCAACAAATCTGAAGTAACTAATGTCTCTACATGTATAGCCTGCCCGTTCTGTTTGACCCTCTGCTGTTTCCGGCTTACTGTACTTGTGGTGTTTAAAATGGGTCAGACTGAGAGTCACAAGAGTCATCCCAAACAGATGGAGCATGTCACAAACTGAAAAAAAATGTCTTTACTAGTGCCTTGTGGGAACTGAACGCTCCCTTCTAAAAAGACCAGGACACAGTAAACCATAAAAACATTTCCATCCAAAAGGCCAAGAGCACTGGATGACCGATGTTTAACATCAGTTTTGTCTCTGTCCACAGAGAGCTCAGTGATCCAAGAACCAATAAGATGATTTCTACAAGGTGAAGCCAACTATGTAGTCACTGCCTCATTGACCTAATTAACATCTTTGCTCTGCTACACTATTCTTGCAGCTTCCTTTCCTAAACTTGTATCTTGCTTGTTCATCTGAGTTGAAAGGCAGCACGAGGAGGAGTGCCAGTGAGGTCTATTTGAGCTGCTGAATATGTAACTTGAATTATTATACAACTTCCTCATATGAATGACATACTGCTTTTAATGCTGTAGCAGGCTACAATGTTTACTCGCACATGGGATAAATGACTGCACTTTAACCTTCCTTGTGATCCAAACAAAAGGTCACCAAGAACATTTCTCTATAACTTTACTTTTGTTTTTACTGCAGTGAGCAAACAAACCACAGACTTCTTTAATTTACCAGTCTGAACCATTTTTAGCTACCATTTTAGGGAATGGCACTTCTCCATTTAGAGGCCTGTCTTCCCTTTTGTCAGTTTAACCTTACTTCACCAATTTCCTGTTAAAAAAAGACCCAAATAAATTGCATTTGTGCTCGGCAAAGTGTGTGTGTGTATATACATACACACACACTCCTATATATCAACTTACATTTGAACAAAAAAAGAATACTCTCTGCAGTGCTAACTAGTGTTTATGTATCTAGTTCCTTTGTACTTACAAGGAGAAATGACTGTGGCTTGCAGCACACCATTTCAGTAGTTTATAAAAATAGATACTGTTTTCCATTAGTAACTGTTGCCAAAAGGGACTTTAAAGCAGTTAGATCTGGACAGTCTTCACAAGAAATGCCATATAAGAATTACAAGACAGATATTCTACCGGAATATTTCACAATAAAACGCTCTTTACTTAAACAAACACTACGTCACTATAGCAGAGGCGTAGTAAAACACAGTAAATCATTAAACTCAATAAAACAGTACACAGTAAAACAAAGAGGAATCTTCATAAAAAAAATAAAATGTACACACACACACACACACACACACACACACACACACAGATTTCAAAAAAGAAATTTATTGGTGCTGGGGTTCACTGGCACAGATAAGAAATCATAACAGAATTAAATACCTCCATTTCAATTTGAGGTGTATTTTTTAAACTTACCAGATAAACCAGAATACCAAAATACATACATACTGATTAACTTCACGGGTGGACTTACAGTTCATTACCCACATACCTTACTACACAAGAGCAAACAAGCACAGCATTTAGTCCAATTTTAGTTCCAAGAAATGTTGATACACAGATGAAATGTTGCATTACACAACAGACTAGAAGATTAACAAAAAGTTGTAGTCTTTCACAGCATAAAGCATCTCATGTAGAATGTGCTGCATCTTTGTAGTGGCGGTTAATTCTTGCATAGTAAGTGGATTCCCTATAACTAGATGCCATTGGAATCCGCTAAAGTTACACAAGTACACACTGGCAAGCACTTGTATTTTTGTTTCAGTGTCAAAATATCAAAAATACAAGTCATTTTGTACACAAAGGATTTAACAAGGCATCACTGCTCAAATTGTTTGATCTCAAATAATTTGGGCATATTCAAATAATGTCATTTCTACCTCCAGTCTTACATTTAAATTTCTCTTTTACTATGAGACCAATGATGCCACCGTGTGGTATAAACATGAATAACAAATAAAACCCTTCCGATTATGTTCAGTGCACTTTATTTTGAAAAAACATTTCAGTTAAGATGCCCATTTTCACATGATTTCTCCCAAAGTGCACTTGGTGAGATTACAACAGAACAGAAAAGTGCTTCAGTACAACTTAACATGCGTCTCCATAGTTCAGTTACATTGACAAGAAATATGAAACAAAGAGCAACACCAAAATTAAGATAAAAGCACCAATAATTCTCATCATTACTTTATTTCATATATTAAATTGAAATTTTCTTGGAAACAAATCAGCAGGAAAAAAAGGACAGAAACTCATATTTGATTAAAAAAAAAAAAAAAAAAAGCCATCAAGAGTCTACGTTACCTATAGATCTACAAATTGTCAAAATTTTTAATCAAATCATAGAGTTAACAGTTTTACCAACAACTACTGTAGGACACAACAGTCATGGCTTGGCTGTGTGGATGATGTTTCCACAGTGTTTTTCTAGTTTTATCCAACAGGAAGTCCCCGTGATTCAGCTGCTTACTCTGTAATCTGGAGTACGGCATGTTGGTCACATGGGGGGGGCACCAGAGGCTAAAATGTTAACAAACAAGTACATCTGGTTTAAGTATGTGATTAGGATTCATTCTTCATTTTTCACTGCAAGGACATATGCTATAAAAGAGCACTTATACTGATTCAGAAAGAGTCCGAGCAGGAAAAAAAAAAAAAAAAAAAACACAAACTGGAAAGGCTAGTGACATCAGGTACAGAAACTGAGAAAATTACCTCAACTAGTTGTGTTTGATACATATCACACCTCTCAAGGACGACAATGACTAATACTCACACTTGAGTTGGAAATAGCAGGGCTCACAGTAGGGCTTCCTTTTTCGGATTTGAACCTGGACTCCAGTCTCAGTTCCTCCGAGACGTCGATGGCAGCCCACACACTGAGAGCAGGAGGGAGAAGCGAGAAAAGACTATTTAAAAGAAATCCAGCTGACCTGTAAAGTGGGCAGTGTGTCTAAATCACCAGATTGTCTGCCACCCAAGCACAAACAACTAAGCCTTGTTTTTGCATAAAACAAAAACACCCATGTGCGTCTGTAACTTATATGGAGCAGAGAGTTGCAGAAGTGAATCGACTTTTGCATCTACATGCTAAATAACCTGGGTCAACTACATCTGGGGGTCCTCTGCAAGTGAGATTTTCACAATAAGGATCTAAAAGCGAAGCAGGACAACGGGCTGGCTTCTTCCACTCAACCATCATATGTAGAAAACACGAGGCTGAGAGAGGAATAGCACACAGGACTACCACACCAGAGATGACCGCCAGGCGTCTTACACACTCTGGTTAGGAAAGACAGAAGCATCAAAAGGTGTCAGAAATGCTCTTACTAGCAGGTGCCTATAAAGCAGACTACAGATATGACACTCCTGCTGACCTTACTAAAAGGTGCGGTCACATTAGTCGTCGGTCTAATGAAATGTTCCCACAGAAAGCACCAAAAAAATGCTGTCACGGGTGTGACACAAGTCATACATATTGGGCTGAGTAATCATGGGTGTATGCAGTCCCTAGTCAAGTTTACATCCAAATGCAGCGCATATTTAAAACGAATATTGTGAAAATTCAAAATGATTTAACGTGTTTCCTGTCACTACCGGTTAATATTAGGGAGTTGGGCGCATGATGGGTGTAGCTGGTGGTGCTAATTCTTCAGTCAGGTGCCATTAAACCATTGCAGAAGAAGACAGTGTAAGGAGATGATGCAATTCAAGTTGCCATGTGGGAAAACATGATGGAAATTTATCCACGAGCGTGTATATCCATATTATTTCTCTATTATTTCTTTTGTATTAATTATATATTAGTTGAATTTTAAATTTCTCTGTACATGACTTTGTTCAACACCTGTCATTTATAAATACATTTGACTGACTTGATACAGTGGGGAGAACAAGTATTTGATACACTGCTGATTTTGCAGGTTTTCCTATTTACAAAGCATGTAGAGGTCTGTAATTTTTATCATAGGTACACTTCAACTGTGAGAGACAATCTAAAACAGAAATCCAGAAAAATCACATTGTATGATTTTTTAAATAATTAATTTGCATTTTATTGCATGACATAAGTATTTGATCACCTACCAACCCGTAAGAATTCCAGCTCTCACAGACCTGTTAGTTCCTGACCTGTTTTCCACTCATTACCTGTATTAACTGCACCTGTTTGAACTCGTTACCTGTATAAAAGACACCTGTACACACACTCAAACTGACTCCAACCTCTCCACAATGGCCAAGACCAGAGAGCTGTGTAAGGACATCAGGGATAAAATTGTAGACCTGAACAAGGCTGGGATGGGCTACAGGACAACAGGCAAGCAGCTTGGTGAGAAGGCAACAACTGTTCGCGCAATTATTAGAAAATGGAAGAAGTTCAAGATGACGGTCAATCTCCCTCGGTCTGGGGCTCCATGCAAGATCTCACCTCATGGGGCATCAATGATCATGAGGAAGGTAAGGGATCAGCCCAGAACCACACGGCAGGAACTGGTCAATGACCTGAAGAGAGCTGGGACCACAGTCTCAAAGAAAACCATTAGTAACACTACGCAGTCATGGATTAAAATCCTGCAGCGCATGCAAGGTCCCCCTGCTCAGGCCAGGAGGAGGAATGGGCAACTAAGGAGTAAGAAGCATCTCAAGGTCCTGGAGTGGCCTAGCCAGTCTCCAGACCTGAAAGTCTGTATTGCCCAGTGACAGCCCCGAAACCTGAAGGATCTGGAGAAGGTCTGTATGGAGGAGTGGGCCAGCAGTCCCTGCTGCAGTGTGTGCAAACCTGGTCAAGAACTACAGGAAACGTCTGATCGCTAATTGCAAACAAAGGTTTCTGTACCAAATATTAAGTTCTGCTTTTTTGATGTATCAAATACTTATGTCATGCAATAAAATCCAAATTAATTATTTAAAAATCATACAATATGATTTTCTGGATTTTTGTTTTAGATTCTGTCTCTCTCACAGTTTAAGTGTACCTATGATAAAAGTTACAGACCTCTACATCCTTTGTAAGTAGGAAAACCTGCTAAATCAGCAGTGTATCAAATACTTGTTCTCCCCACTGTATGTTTAATGTCCACACGTTTTCCCCTGCTGCCATTTTTTATCTTAAGTGGAGCGGCATGATTCATTTGTTTATTTTTTTTAAATAGACTCTTCCACCTCCAGCCGAGTATAAAATGATAATTTTCCCCACCAAATTTTGGCCATTTCTCAGGGTTTGTTTTATGCACAAAATAAAAATGTGCTTAAAACCAGGAGAAAGGAAAAGCACTTTATGAGAAGCTGTGGTTTTCAGCATGGTAGTATAATTTTGTGCAAAACGAGGTGGCGGCACACTGCAAGAACAATTACTTCTCCATTTCCAAACACAACACATCACTGTTTCTATTGGCCAACCATGTGCACTCACACATCAAAGGTGAACTCTAAACTGCGAGAGTGACGGAGCTCATAACAGAACAGTAACCGCTTCCATAGATTTGCAGGGATTGGAGCTACTGTGACCGCACCTTAACCCAGTCATGACCTCTCACCTGGAAACAGGCGAGGTGGAAGCAGAGACTTAGGGCCTCTATGACCATGGCTGCCCCACTACCCAGGGCACGTTCACACACACAGCAAGTCCTCCTGCCACTGACCATCCTGGGGCAGCACATGTTAACAGTGTGAGGCCAAAATGTATCACAAGACATAGAAAATAACACAACATGCACAAGAGAGAGAGGCTCTATATTTGCGTGAATCGCGTACCCGCCCTGGTGAGAGTCCATGGATGTATTTCTCTGGGATAATATTGATCCAGTGCTGTAGCGGGAGGAGGAGTTCCTGCTTGGAGCACAGTAACCTGCCGCAGCTGAGTGTGGACGAGGGTAACTGAATGGAGTAGTTGAGGTTGGGGACTGACGCAAAGTATCCAGGTCATCTAGAGACTCATGCCTGCAGGGAAGACATCAAAGTTCAGAAAACTATATTAAGGAAGGTGAAAGGAGGACATTTCATAAGCAAAGGTTGTGAAACGAATAGAGTCCCACTTGGTATAAATAAACCCACCTCTTCAGAGGAACCCCAGCATAGATCGGTTCCTTGTAAAAGCTGCTGCTGCGCTGACGTATCCAGCTGTTGTCGGTCAGAAGCTGAGTCCTTTTCTTCATCTCCTCCAAAATCTGCTGCCTTTCATGCTCAACCTTAGACACAGATTGTCCTTTTCTTCTCCTCTCATCACCTGGACCAATCAAAGTTTGTGGGGTAAGCCAAGTACATCATCAGAACAGAGGGGGATATGACGACAGAGGGTAGACTAACCTCTAATCTGTTTGTGGGGGCCAGCTAATGCTGGGGTAGACAAGGATTTTGCCCTATGGGAAGAGGAAAATAGTCCACATTATTATACAATTTGTTGTCATCTTTTGGTTTTCGAGAAAAATATGGGGTTTTAGCATCTGAACTGCATGCTGATGTTGGCTTCAAATAACACCCACCTAACAAAAATAGTCAAATCATCTTGCTTTATGTTAGTTATTTAAAAAAAAAAATAATAATACTACACAATACCATGCTGTGGTTGCAGACCAACATACTACAAAGACATTTATGCCCAAAGCTACATATAAAATATTATATATGGTAACTAGGCCCAAGTCATACAGAGTGTTTTAAAACAAAGTGAAACTGAGCTAGTCTTGTTCTAACCTGTGTGTAGAAGACAGCTGAGCAAAGCCACAGGAGTCCTCAGCCCTGAGGTATAGCATGAAGGTGCAGCACAAGCAGCAGGAAGCACAGCAGATTCAGCAGCAGTGTAGAAAATATTGAGTCAAAAAAAATCATGTCATGTTGGGAAAAAAAATAAAATAAAAAAACAAAAATGCTAAATGTCTCTAACCTTGCTTTCAATAGTAAGCACTATATGTAACACTGTTAAACTCAGCAAAGATGGAAAAGAGTTGCAATGTTATTTACCAGGCCTGTTCAGAAATCTTGTCATTCTGCACTCCTTGTGCATTACTTTCAGATTTTAGTCCCACTTCCTTAAGCTCATCTCTGTCAGGTCTCTGCTCCTTTGCTCTAGTTTTGTTAATCAATCCATTCACATGGAACCGGGTACTGGCAGGGCCCTCACCACCATTGGTCAGCACAGAGGTGTTCTGCTTCAAATATGAAAAAAAAAGACATGAGCCATATTTCTACTGAAACAATCTAGAGCAATGAAATTTATGGACCAGTGACCCTCAAATGGTTACAATGGGATTCCTAAAAGGAAAGAGAAAAAAAAAAATGGAAATCTTTAGCCAGAAAGAGTGCATCTAATTAGCAGTAAAGGTGGGGGTAGCAGGTTGTATTTGTTCCTGTCAGCACAGTAATCACAGATCTGTCAGAGGTACTGATAAATATAAGGGCCCTGGAAGGGCACACAACATTACCACTGACTTCCTGCATAACTCCCCCACCGCATCTTGTTGTGCCCTCTGCCACTCTGCCTCCAGCCTCTCCTGATCCCGCTGGTATTGCTCCTGAAAAACAAAAAGACACACACACACACACACACACACACGTTGCTTTAAACTTCAGATGAAGGTTATAATTAACAAGAAGCGTTAACCTCCTTAATGCTGTGCAGATCTGTGCTGAGAAAATAGTCTTCACCTGTAGGAGGCGCTCTTGTTCTTCCTGCCACTTCTCCTGCCGCCTTCGATCCTCCTCACGGTCCCACGACCAGCTGGATGAGGAGGGGCTGAGGGATGGCACCTGGAGCTGGTGACGCACAAACAGAAGGTGGTAGGCTCAAGCATGATCACAGTGCAGTGTACAAATTACACACACACACACACACACACACACACACACACACACACACCCCACCCCCTTATGTCTGAACATGCATACAAACATCCTTTGATCAAGTGGCAACTTACATCAGATATTGCAGATTCTGAACCTCCTGTTTGAAAAGATAACACGTCAGCAAATATCTCAGAAAGATGATCAAGATGTGTGTTATATCATATAGGTCACACATACACCACGCAAAGGCTGGGGACACAGTAGAAGACTCATGCATTTTGTCTTTTTGTGCGTCTTTCACTGGTTTCACACTTGATAACTTTGTTTATCCTACTCCTCTTTTGCAGCACCACGTAGCACAAGAACTTCAGGTTTAACTATAGCCAGAAGCCAAATAAAAACATGCACTGTACAGTTTGCACTGACTCCAAAGCTGGAGGTTAGCTGGCCACTTTGTAGCAAACAACACTCAAGCATATAGCCCTTCTAGAGGTGCTAGTGGCTACAGTGTTCACTGAAGACCAAAATACAAAAAGTTGGACAAAAGCACGCAATTATAATCATGCATTTGTAGAAGTTTACCTGGCTCAAATATCTGGTGATAACTATCAGACGTCTGGTGGCTCAGATGTCTGAGTATGAGAGCACTGTAGACCTCTCATGCGGCAAAATTCTCTTGGTCCTGACCAAGGATCAGGATGTCAGTAACAAGTCTGAATGTAAATCAACACACTAATCTGCTAATGTCTCCCCAGCCTAAAGATACTGCACGCAAATACTGAAAAAGAAACCATTAAGCAAATACTTAAGCATGCCATAGTAAATAAAAAATATATATAAATTTAAAAAAAAAGTATCCAAACGTGACAAGACAAATCTGTGTTCATTTGCTGATGATCCACTACAACTGATTTTTTTACGTCAGCATGTTGCTCACATACACACCACACATAGTACAAGCATTTACCACACAAGTAAACCCATGAGCTGAATCCTGCAGAGCCTGAAGAGTGATGCCATTGTAGCACGACACGTCAGATTCATTAACAAGCACAAAGGATAGTGTTACAAATCGGTCATTGTGAAAAAAGAATGAGAAAGTCGGCAATTAAAAACTGACAACCCATTAACACAAAGAACGTGGAAAACTTCAGCAAAAGAAGAATCTGTTGCACACTGCACACGGTATATTCTTGACATGATCAGTGCTGTCAGCTCTGTGGTTGCTAGGTAAAGTTGTGCCAAGCCAAGCACCGTTTCTTGCCTCCAGTTTGCAAAAACCATAAATGGCTTTTTGATGGAGAACCATAGCTAACATTCATTTACAGAAATGTTACAGTTTTAATAGTTGAAGTTAGGCTGCTTTGATTAAAATACTGTTAAGTTCTCATCACTGTATCTTCTGATTCCTTTTAATTAGCAGTACCCTACTTAAAAAAAAACAAAAACACACAAATTGTGCACTTTATTTGCTTTTAATGATTAACCATCAATTAATCAAGCCAAGCACCAGCCACCAAAGCTGCTACACACAAGTCTAACGTCAACCTGGAATTTTACCTTTGTGTTTGAAAAATTCAGCCCTCCTTGTCTGATTTTTCTTAATAATATTATTATTATCTACATGAAGAGGAAGGACGCATGAGGTGAGAAATTACATTTTGATTTGTAAAGTTATTGCTATTAAACACTTCATGCCTCTTATTACCTTTACTTCTGGCTGTCCTGTGGTTGTCAGCAAGCGCTCCAGGCATGACTTTACCTTGTACAACCTGGGCAGGTGAGAGAACACCAAGATTCACCTCATGAGCACCGCTAATTAAGCTGCGCTCTCAGAAGCAGCTTTCTGCATTTCATTTTTGAACTGAAGCGATTACTGGCTAAAACACTGCTCACATTGTCTGTCTGCCCATTGAATTTGGACACATTTCTGACTGTGGTTTCTGTAGAGGGACCACTGTTGGCATGGTGATCAGCGCAACCTATCAGAACGGGCACTGCGGCAGTCAGATTGAGGGTCATCCTGCTCTGGCCTGGCTGGTTGTGCTGAATCCCCTCACTGGTGCTCCAATCTAATGAAAACAACCAGTCATCAAAACTAAGACCACACTGCAAACCAGAGATTGTGACCACTGGTTAGAAGTTAGAGGTTCAATTATCACAAATAATTGTAGTAAAAGACATGAAATAGGACATGTTTTTTTTTGACTCATCTCACCCTTGTTGCCATAGCGCCGAATGTCCATGGTCAGACTGCCGGTTTGAAGGGAAGATGTAATTTTATCCTTCCACTGGCTGTAGTTCATGTGTGCCACCGCTACTCCATTAACCGCCACAATCTCATCGTCCACACGCAGCTGGCAAAGCTCTGCTGGACTGCCTGAGGAAGGAGGAAATGGCGTCAGAAAAATGAAAAAAGGTGAGAATGAGGCAAGCAAAACCTTTTTTTTTTTTAAAAAGGTATCCGCTTGAGAAATGATTCGTTTAGCACAAATTGAGAAACAAACTGATGGAACAGCAACCTTGTCATCAAGTTCACAAGTAGGCCAGTAAGCCAAAACTATATAGCAGCGGGTAAGTGACACCTCCTCTCACATCTTATTAAATATTCAGTTCAGTTTTAAATCACTGGCTACATTTTCTAGGTTGTTTTGTTGTTCGTGCACTAACTAAGTTAGCTCTGCATGTACAGTAAACACACAAGCGAAACAGTAAAACCTCACACCCCAGCGACCATTTCACTGTTTGAGAGTGCCGTTATTATGATCTGTTTGGATGATCAAAATCTATAAAGACATCTATTTTTTTAGCATAAAAAAAAAAGCATCTTTACGAATTTTCAGATAAAGGAGAAGCTGCTTTGTCTTCACAAATTGCCTCAGTAACATAATTTGTTGTGTTTTGGTTGTGACAATTTGTCTAAACTATCTGTGCTGAGGTCTGTCAATTTCTAGAATTACTGTTCTGTTTCTAAGTGCAGGATTGTGGAACAAATTTCATCTTTGAGAAGCAAAAAAACAACAGCACTGTCAGCACAACATAGCACTGCCATACCTGTCAATTAATTGTCCTTGTTGCACAATACAAGGCTCAAAGCAAAGGCTTGTTTCTCAATACTATGTCAGTCTAACCATAAATGTGATGTTAGCAATCTAGAGTTAAATATAGCTGAAGTCTTACCAGGTTGAATGGATTTGACTGTCACCCCTGCGGAGCCCCAGCGAGTCTGGAAACCAAAGTCTAGTCTACTGCTGGGTTTAAGAGTAAGGCTCACTCTCATGTCACTGTGATCCACCTGAAACACACGTACACACACACACACACACACACACACACACACACAAAAAGTGACACCCTGTGATCCAATGTCTTGTGCTTCCTGGTGGAAACTAGAAACTTTAGAGGGCTGCTACACAAATATAGTAAGGGATACACAGAGGTACCACTATTATGGACAATGTAGTGCATTCATCACAGCAGCCAGGCAACAAATGTCATCTTTGTGAAATTTATAATGTCATAATTTAGTAGTGTTTGCTTGTCAGAGATGCTGATTCAATGCAACATTAATATTTGTGGCTTTAGTTAGTGGTGGTCCAGGACTATTTTGGAAGGTGTCTCTTCAGCCCCTATTTACTCAGATTAGGAGAACAGAATATTAAGAAAACCATCTCATATGTAGCGTCCAAAACGGAACATAATTAGCTTCAAAAATATGCTGGTAACTCAATGTATATGCACATATAAGGCGGTTTGGGAGCAATACTATTTAAAGGCCCTCCACACCTCCTCAGGTGTTTCCACTTACTCTGCTGATTAGATTGATTAGGTTGAAGTTGGGCAACGCTATGCCGAGAATTACACAAGGTCACCAAATCAATGTACCAAAAACAATGCTAGATAAAGGAGTTCAGTTGTCTCACCCTCATAAGTGCTGGAGAACTAACAGGACAATGAGGAAAATGTAAATAGACAATGGAGATTTTAACTTGTCAAAGCAGTAACACACACACACACACACACTGTTTATGTCTGTTCACCACATGAATTAAGTTTGACTTGCTAATCTAAGATATGAATGTTTTGTTCCTCACCATCTTTTACCAAGCTTTTAATAAGAACAATCATTAATTACAACTTATGTTTCGGTTACAAAAGTGCATCAATAAATACACACAGTACAAATGTGTGCTGAAAAATAATACATACAACATACCTTTGGGCGGTCAATGCTCGCATCAGAGGTGAAAGTCGAGCTTTTGTTGTGGTGGGCCTGCTGGTTTGAATAAGGTTGCGGCAGTAGCTGGGTTTGGGTGTAGGGCTGATGACAGCCATTGATCTGAAGTGAGGTCTGGCTGGAAAGAGTGCCACCTTTCACCTCCTCCCCCTGTTCTGTACCATTCTGCTTTGATTCGGGGAATGGAGAAAGGGATTCCTCTTTGTCACTTTTCAACAGCAGACCCTGGTTGTCGTCCACCTGGAGATGAACAAAAACAACATGCTCCCAGAAGGACAGTACAGATACATTTTATCCCTCCATTTATTCTGCAGTATCAGTGACTTTACTAATTGTACAGTTGCCCAACACCAACAAATGTTCGTGGAAATAAAAATGTGTGATCTTGTAGTGAGTTGACACTGTTCACAATGGTGCAGCAGGATTTATATTATTAATGAGGAAGACAATACAACAAAACAAAAGGTAACACAAGCACACTCACATTTAGTTCTCACACACACACACACACACACACACACACACACACACACACACAGGAAATGCTCTCATTAAATTGACTAGTTTGGGCCTATTTGGCCGATTAAACAAGTCCCTCGAGTGCCAAACGTCCATTAAGCCAGTCTAGACTGTAAAAAATTTGTGAGGTAACAGGTCAGTCTACTTCAAAACCTCCTATGCTTTTTGAACACATAGGCCTAGCTACTGTTTCTGTCATACCCACCACTGTAATCACCTGCTTTTTGACATCGTCTGGATTTCACAACTGGACACAGTTCAAGTTGAAACAGGATTTAAAGCCTGAAAACTGACCATGTTGGTAATATAAAATTCATCTCTCTCTCTCTCTCTCTCTCTCGCCCTGGGTGACACGATAACTTGTCACGATGACCATGGGCACTGTAGTTTATTTTGAGTTGTTCATGTTTACAATGTTGTGTTGAAGTAAATCCACATTGCCACGGTGAAAGTGAACGCATGAAAACAGCGAGGGGAATCGTCTATTATATATATAAAAATTAAAAAAAGTGTAAAAAGTCATCAGTTCTAGGATGCTGTACCAGCTGATATTATTCTACTGCCATTGTTGTGTATGTTACTTTTATTTGGGAAAACATTCATTACTATGCTTTTTAAAGTTTGTTGTTTTTTTGTGGTAGGAGGGGTGGCAGTCATGCACCCATTACCTGCTTAAGTGCACACACACACACACACACACACACACACACACACGTATGATCATGCGATAATTTGTAAGAAGGATTTGTATTTTTCCTAAGAAATTAGCCATTTGTTTTGGTGTTAACTCATTCCCTCTGTGCTGTTTGCTCGTTGCATTTGCTGGAGTAAGTTAACTTTTTTTGTTGTTTCAGAGCTGGAATTGATAGGTTACTTTTGCAGTACTATAGGAGGACAGTGTTGGCGTGATAGTTTTTACTTTTTATTCCCAAAGAGAGAGAGAGAGAGAGGGGGGGGGGGGGTTCATGAGTCACAGCTCGCTATTAAACATAATGTGTAAAAAAGGTCAGCCATTGCTTGCTACCTTTGGTATGAATATAACAGAATTTATAGAAAAATGTGCTAAAAACTGCAGTGCAGTGCCCAGCTGTTTTAGGAAATTTTGTGTTTTTTAAAATATTAAACTGTTTTGAACAATGGTTTTGATCTTTTGGATCATGGACATTTTTTTTCCCCCAATAACAAAACATGTAACGCCAGACTTGTTCTTTAAGTCAATACCACGACAGGAAACAACAAAAGGGTAAAATAAAATTTAAAAAAGTAATCGTTTCCACTTTCATTCAATGAGCAACACTGCTATATTAGGGACAAACCGTGAACTAACTCACATTGCACAGCCTCGGCAGTGAAGACACCCTGAACTGCTTGGTCCCGAAGGGTCTGGCTGTGATTGCAGCAGAGAGACGGGATGAGCCCTCGGACCTCCGGTAACCACGAGGAAGGCTGGCTGAGCCAGACCACGACCCAGTTCTGGACAAGTACTTGTAGCCTGAAGCCTGCTGGCCTCTGCCTTGCTCCACAGCTGGTTTCCAAGAGGTCTTCTGGCTCTCTTCCTGGGACTTGTGGTTCTGGTGCTCCTCCAGAGCATCATCTCCTGCCTGATCAATGCAGAATGGAAGTTCCTTGTGACTTGACGTAGATGCAGTGGGATCACTGGTGGTGGCTGATTTTTTGGTCTCGTTTGGCTGTACAGTTGTGATCAGACTGGAGATTTGAGCTTTGACTTGGGTCTGGGAGCTGAAAGGGTAGTCCAGAGAAGGCGTGGCAACTCCTGCTCCATCTGAAGCCAGGGAAGCCAAGTGGGTCTCCTCACCCAAGATGTTCCCATCAGAGGCTGGCTTGACTCCAACTGATAATCCCTGAGAAGAAATGAGACTTTAGAGATTTGTCATTAATAGTGTACACTGTTATCGTTCACGTAGGCACCTTCACCACAAGGAATACTAAAGTAAAAACACAGCCAGGGGCATTCATTAAGGTCAGGGAGATAAACATAACTTACCTGAGAGTGGGCTGGGATATGTGGGCTAAGTGGAGTTGTGGGGCTGAAATGTGCCTCAGTGGCGTAGCTGCGGGCCAGTAAAGCTCGAGTACGTGGCCGGAGATCAGAGCTTGTTGATTTAGATGGAGGAGACGTGGAGTAAGGACGGGGGGCTGGATTATGCCTCCGTGGTGACTGCTGGTCTCTGGGGAATTGGAGTGTAAGGGAAGAGGAGCCAATGTTATAAAAAAAAAAAGAAGGGGGAGGATGTGGGTCATATTACATGAGTTTGCTGTGGCATCCTGAGCAGTTATCAAGCTAGGTCGGCAGCCTTTCAAACGCACTTTAAATAAAATGATTTGGGAGCAACAGGGTTTGGAAGATTTTGTGTTACATTTGTAACGGATGAGTACCTCTTTAGCAGTCCGCCTGCTTCATTCTTTTCAAAATTAGTCACAGCACCATTGATCATCTTGGTAATGACATGCTCTCTGTCTTGCGACTTCCTGCGGAGGTCAGACTTGGTACTCCTGCGACGGTTCTTCCACTTTGTCAAGTCCTGTAACAAATGCATTAACCAACAATGAGGTTGCTCATGTGCATACAACTACAATATCATAATCAATATTTTAAGACTCTTTTGACTGATTGCACTCTAGAAAACCATTTTGTTTATTTTGAAACCTAATTCTTTAGTAGCTGACAAAAACATTTAGTGGCATGACCATATTCAGGTGCAGTCTTGCCAACTGTCACCACGCAGTTCATTCAGTAGCTGTTCTGGAACATTTGATTATATCACACAATCTTCGTCAGAGGATGTTGTTTGCCCAATTGTTATGGAATTGTAGATGTTCAAATTCCCCCTTTTCTGACTCCAAACTCCTTAAAGTCCTCAGAAAACAGAAATGTGAACAGCTACAATTCCATTACAGCTGGGCAATCATGTGCTGAAGAACACAGAGCTTTAGAGCATATCACACTAATAGCTACTGAAGGGGCCCTGTAGTGAGATTATTTCGGCCACCTCTTTTTGTTGTAGGAATTTTCTAGACTTACATCCTGCCACTGAGCTTCACTGTCCTTGGGGGCAACGCTACACCTCCTTTTGTTTTCTTGATTCCACTCCTGTGCCATGCCAGCGTCCTGCCCCACGTCATAATTGGTGTTCCCATCAGGAACTTTACGCACAGGGTATACCATCGGAATGTCACTGAGTGATTTGCTCCTGGTTCAGACAGACAAAAGAGGCAAGACATGGAATAATGGATTTACAGAGCAAACAAAGATGGTATTTAAAACACTGCACATGCATCAAAGTGTCACTTGAGAACACCATGTAGCAAAACAAACATGATGAACAGTGTTGCAATGCAGCGCACAAAACATGCCGCACATGCAGACACGTACACACAAACTGCAGGCCAGAGTATTAACAGATGCAACATGGCACATTCTGCATCCAAACAACAAAATCCTTAGCCAAGTGCGAGCAGGGGAGTAGCACGCAAGTCAAGTAACACAGCAGTACAAATGGCAACAGATGTTGCTGTCTGGATAACACAACAGGCGTGACTTATAACAAGTAATATCACGGCTGCAGGCAACAGAGGATGTCAGATGTGACATTAAAATAACTTACAGCAGCATTTAGCAGGTGGTATATCAAAACTGTGACATGGTTTGATAGGAGAAACCAAGACTGTGATTACAAAACAATCCTGTAGTTTGTAATAAATACTGTCAAGTCCCTGCCCAGAAAATTAATAGCGGAAGGTATACCAAGTGCTCCATCTTTACGAAAAGGCAAATTACGTTTGCAGCATATTTTCGCTTGTAGGTAAGCTGAAGACAAACAAAAGCAGTTATGGTCAGAGCAGTCTCCCGCACCTTTGCTCCAATTTTATGCCCAAAACTTCAGGACTTACCAAATCCAACCAGGGTTGACCTGAACTGGTCTCTCAGGTCTGACCTGGATTTGATATGCTCTACAGAACCAAAGAAACAGACACGAAGATTGATGAACACCATTATGCATCTTAATATAAAAAAAGGGCACATGGCTTGACAGAAGAAACTAACATAGTAACAAAATGATGAAGACGATTTTATTTGACAGATACAACACATATGGCATCCTTGCAACAGCTGTAATACAAACCTACCACACACAAAGACGACCTTGGCAGACAGAGTGTGTTTAATGCACAAATTCACATGCTGCACAATGTTTTAGCCAATTTTATTGACCCACTATGACACTTGACTTTCTGTGTGAATATGGCTTTGGTGTGGGAAAAATAAACTGGAAAACATTAGTGCTGGCACAAAAAGGTGTCATAAATAACATGATTCTGTTATGGCTATCAAAGTATGAAACACATGAGTCATCTGTTTAATCATTATGAGCTAATGAGTCACTCAGCATGGCGCTGTTAAAAAGTCCTCACATCATCAGCACTATAAAAAAAAGGTGCCAGAGTAAATGCCAGATAATACAACATGCAGTAGTTCAGAAAACATTACACAGTACAAATTCAAAGCACATTCCATTTTCCTGATAACTTCATAAAACATGTATTTGATAAAGAGCAACATTTGCATATTATACAACCACAATTATGTAGTTCGGTGATGATTAGAGATTTGTAAATGCAAAAATAACAGGTGCACTTTGCCACCGTGTTACACTGCGAAATAATGTGCAGGAAAGTGTGTCAGGTCAGGGCTTGTGTCAGTCTGCACAGTGTGTGCCATTTGCGTGTTTGGGACTGCGTGTTAGGTTTGGATCTTCAGGACAGGAGTTAATGTTCAGGCTTGGGGAGAGTTTCTTAGAGATGCTTTTGAGGCTCTCCAGATGTGGCAGAGACGCATTGTACAGTAGCAGATGTCACAAGCCAGGAAAGGAAGTCAAAGTCAAACTCTTCCTCAGAAGAACCCAAAGCTTTATGGCTACAGTCAAAGAAAAGGAACAGAAGATGCATGAAATGAGTACACCATGTTTACCAGTAGACCCACAGACAACACAGGAAGTCATTTAAAAGGGGACAAATTGGACATATGCAAGCTGTTTGGTTCAGCAGTTTTAGCTTATGCCGTCTTTCTTGCAAACTAGCACTAGCTGTTGCTGTGCCTAGCAAACTAGGATTTAGTTTCCTGGTGTAGTTAAGCTGGATTTCTAAAAATATTTTTCTACTAGGACATTAAGCACATGCCATCATGTCATATAGCAGGGTTTTTCTTTAGCACCACACACAAAAAAGTACACCAAAGGAGATACAGTAAGTCAGACTCCAGCCTGCAAACCATAGGCAGTTTTTTGCTTCTTTAATGTTACCATGATTACTTGCCGGTCAAGCAACGCAATTTTGCACATCAAGCATACAGCAAAAAAGTACAGAATTGCATCCTCAGCTTTGGCTTGTATTAGTTTTGAGTAAATCTTTCACCGCCTTGCATCATAGGAGCAGTAAAAACAGCCAACAGACCTTAAGCATTGGATTTTACGATACCAGGGTCTTCTCTGGGAGCCGAGGTAGATAGTGCGCACACGCATCTCCTCTTCAGGTGTCCAATATCGAGGTAAGAAGCGGTCATAGTTGGGGTTGGTAGATGTCTGATGAAGGGTCTGCTGCACTCGCCGGAAATACAAGTCATCTAGGACAGGGTCTGCCTCAGTATAATCGTCTTCAGAGTCTTCCTCACACAGAGCACGCAGGAAAAGCTCTTCATCAAGGACACACTCAGCAGGAGACACAGTGAGGTGGGGTTGAGGAGAGAAAAGGGGATCTTCAATGCTGCAGCAAAGAGTGGTACACCCACATCTATGGTTTATTCACAGCTGATGGTGATGCTGCGTATAAAATAGTTACACCAAGTATCTCAAATGATCTCTGGCAGCACAACGCTGCTTCAAAATGTTAAAAGGCAGAAGTGTGACTGCTGATTAATGCATGGAGGCAAATTCACTGTTGTTTGAGGATAAGGTTAGTGTTACACAACGCTTTTCAATTTCCAAGCAGCGGAGTTGTACTGTGGGTACAGTGGCAGAGTAGTAAGAGAGCCAAGCGAAATCCATACATCTTTACACACCAGCTCCATGCTGAATTGAGAAGTAGGATGAGAGCAGAGATTACTGCCAACACCTTGGCCAACCCCCCCCCCCCCCCCCAAAAAAATAGTATATTGTCAACTACTTCTGAAATAAGCTCTTAAAAGTTATTTGTTAAGCACTTATGTGACCTAGCAGCAATGATGGTCTGTTGGTACAATTGAAGTTCTGTTGCCATGTGGGCGCAGGGGGATGCTGGCCAAACTGACCACCCTGGTGATCTGCCACCAAGTGTAGTGCTCACCCTGACAGTCTTCAGATTTATGTTACCATGGTGACTAGAGGCTAATTGAAGTCATTGGCATGAAGAAACTTGCCCAGAAGAGGCCTATTGGTCAGACAGAATGAGAATGAACAGTTTAAGTTTATAAACACTAATTTAAATACATTTTTGCAATATTTGTTGTTTTTAAAAATAAAAGACACTGACAACATCCAAGCTCAAAAATACCCTTTAAAAGTAATAATAAAAATTTCAAACTAACTTCCTAGCCCAAATTATTACTACAAAAAAGGTCCTTCTTAAAAGGAACTCCTGTTGACAAGGATGAGGACTTTGCTGCTGTCTTGCTGACTTAGCCACTCAGTCTACTTTGACAAAGTAGTAGTAAAAGAAACTCCAAACTGTCTCACAGCAGATCAGTCCTTAACTTATTTGAAAACTGAAATTTGTATAAATTGAGATTCAACCACGAACAATCCATGTTATTATATTAATGACAGATATTACTGAACACACTTCAACATTTTTTGCCTCATACAATGCTGGAAGACCACTGGTTCCCTCTTACAGTATGTTATTGTTGTCAGTATGCCACTTACTGGATTCAATAAATTGGAAAAATTAGGGTATATTCAAGCTGTTCATATGTATACTGTATGTGCGCATATACAAATAAAAACAGGAAGGAAAATGTTAACCTCAACTGGGGAATTGAATGTTAAAGAAAATAACAAAATCAACTGCAGACAGTCCTTTAGCAGCTGTAGATAAGTGAGTTAGCAGCAGCAACTGAATTCTCTGTGTACAGCAGCCAACACATTTGGAGTACCTGGGAAGTGGACTAGCGCAGCCCTGTCCATTCTCGTTCTGGCCTTGTTTTCTCCGTAGGAGTGGCGGTGGGATATAACCTTTGTTTTGCTGGGTTGGGGGCTGCATGCTCTCCATCTTGAACACCTGCTCAGCTTCCGCGTCACTTCCACAACCTTGAGATCGCACAAACATGTGGAAAAGGAGCAACAGAAAACATAAGTTTGGAGAACAAGGAGGGGAAACATAAGCTAAAAGCCAAAAGCACATTATGATTAAAATAAAAGTCTAAATATCAGAACATAACAGAGAAGAACCTTTAGTGGGTGTCTTCACACAGCCGAGCCTCGAGCGAGTACTGTGCCAATTACTTTACCCTCTCCCATCACACCCACTTTTATCACCAATGTGTAGAACTTGCCACAATCCATCACTGACGTGCACCAATACCAAGCACGCCAGAGTGCAGATAATGACACATCATTCAGAAAGACGTTGATATAACAAAATGATGCTGATGAAGCGTCATGACATCGTTACATATGGAATCCTCAATTTATATTTTTTGGTAAATACATCCGTTTTCGCATGCTCTTTTGCAGACTGACAGCAGCAGGCAGATCTCTTCAGGAAAAACATATTTGTGCAACAGTTGCAACAGCAGTTTGTGCAAGTTAACCTTGCTCATATTGATTCCATGCAACAACAACAAAAAAAAAACCCTAACAAAAACTCAAACTGCATCAAAATAATTTCAAAGCAAATAGATAAAATGCGTCACTATTAATCAGAGTTTGATTTCCAAGTGATTAAGTTAAGCAAATTGCAGTGCATTAACTTGACAGTCGCCATCTTTTACACCAAAACAAAAAGGAGTTCACACTTCAGGTGGTGTGGTGTGCATATGTTTTTAACTAGGAGGTTGCAAACGTACCTTCACTGTTTGAGCGGAGGGCTCGGGAGTCCAGAGAATCCATGCTGTGCCCCGTGTTTGCCATCTTATAGCTCGGTCCCCTGCTCTGACATTCGTCCCTCTCTGGGTAGCAGCCCTCCCCGTAATTGCTGTCTTTCACGCACACATTACTGCCCTCATCTAGAGACTGGATTTAGAAGGCAGGGTTAACGCAGATAAAAATAAATTAACAACTGTGTCAAAAGCCAAAAAGAGCCACTTACCTTTGACAAGGCCAACCCTAACAGTCCTTCAAAGGCCTTGAAGTTAAGCAGAGGACCACTGTAGAATGTGTCCAGGTGAGCCTTGCGACCCAACCAGTAGATTGTGATCAGAACCTGTCAAAGAGTGGACAAAGACTTGTACGGAGCACACAAATCTGACCACAGCATTCTAGAAATGTGGTGCTTTAAGCTAAATTCTAATATCTAATATCAGCTTGCTAATAATGACAATGATGACATTAAACAGGTATAATGTTCACCATCTTAGTTTAGCGTTTTAGCATGCTAACATTTGCTGATTAGTACTGATCATAAGCTGAGGTTGATGGGAATGTCATTTGTTCTACTGGTATTTGATAATTTGGTATTGGACCAATTACAATTTGGACCACATGATGGTGCTAGATGAAAATTCAGGATTATAATTCATGCTGAAGCTAAAATGTTTGTACCAAATTTCATTGTTGAGAAGTATCATTCAAAACCACAAATGTCAACCTCATGGTGGCGCTAGAGGAAAAGTCATGGAATTACCAAATTCATTAGGGTAAATTCTCTGGGTCCTTTAAAATCTGTACCAAATTTTGCACTAGTCCATCCAGATGTTCTGGCGATTTAGTCTGGACTCCAGTGGTGAACTGAATGACCGTCAGTGCCATCCCTAATGCCATGCTGCTGAGCATTTCTAAACACACAAATCAGTAATTTGTTTTTCCTTTCTATACTTCAGCATACGATGCACTGTCCTCACAGCATCGGCTACAAGAAACACTGGTGAGGCGAGGCACATGGCCTTCACAAAACAGATTAAAACACCGATTCCGAATACTGATGACAGTTAGACACACAACTGAAAAGCATTAGTAATTTCAGTGAGTAAAGTCCTGTGAAATATGGTCCTCTTCCTTGCATTTAGTGTTTCAATATTTCTGCAAGCAAAGCGTTTGACACATTTTATTGCTCATTTGCCTTTAGGCAAAGGATATTTTTTGACAGGCTGCCTTTCTCCCTGGCAGAGCAGCAGCTTGTGTTGTTAAGGGATGTCCACCATACTATGTGTCAGAATTTCTCTATCTGTAACTTAACAAAGTCATCAGAGCTGCCAGCAGACTGAAAGAAAATCCATGTAGGGCCTTGAGAGATGATTGAACTGACTGACTAAATATTTTATAGCACAAAGCTAGTCAGATGAAAAAGAGGAGAATTTTGAGTGGCAATAAATGCGTCTGTATAGATCCACCATTACGCCTAATCAGTGTCTGTAGCGAGTACCTTACCGGTCAATAAAATGCATTCGCTGAATGAAGAAATGATCTCCAAGTTCCAGCCATCAGTGTCATTGTAGGGTGGAAATATAAGGTTTATTAAGGGTTTCTTTTTGATTTTTCTGCACAAATGATGTACAGAGACCCACTGTAATATGCAGTTTTCCATTAATAGGCAATTCTGTTGGCTATTTAAGCATGTTCGAGCCATTACAGCTAAAATTGTTGTCTCCACTCCCCCCCCCCCCCCCATTTGTACAACCAGCTTAGAGTAAACCAGCGTTAAGGTCTTGTGTCAAGTCTTAAGCACAAGGACAGGATGTGTTCATTATTCTCTAATAGCTTTCCACCTACCTCATGTCAAGGAAATCATTACGCTGCATGCAACAGATCAGGTAAATCCTATTTTATGGTTTCATTTGCCGTGAATGATTATATTTATATAAAATTATTTAGCAACCCTTAAAAAAGAACAAAAAAAAAATAAAGAAAAATCACTCAAGTCCTGTCAATGACTAGACACACGAGTTGTGTTAAAAAAAAAAAAAAAACACACACACACACACCAACAACAACAACAAGCTCATGCTTTATATTTTAGGGATAAATAAAAAGATAGGTTGATTGTGGATTTTTCTATGGTTGAACACACTCCAGTCTCTCATACTTACAATTGCGGTGTATTAGATGTGTTAAGAGACTTTTGAGGCGATATACAGTATGCCTTATCTCATGCGAAAAGACATTTACACATGAATTGTTTTTGTTTTGCTGAAAACACCATTAACCAATTTCTTCTTTGTTTATTAGGAAGATCAAATTTAAGTCGCATTCTGGCATTTGCGGGCACTTCTACAGAACATAACTTGCATTTAAGTTAACTGTAAAATGAAGAAAACACAATAACTGCAATAATTGAGCAATACACTCCAAAAACAGAATTTCAATGTAATCCTTTTTGTTCATGTACATGTAAACATTATTCCTCATTGTATCACTACTATTTGTAAAAACAATGACACTCAGCTCTGTTTTGCTACTTTAAAAATGTACTGCATGAATAACTCTGCTTCAATTATTCATGTTTCTGGTTGGAGGCCAGCATGAAAACTTTCTATTTCATAGGACGCAAATTGACCCTAATTGGTTAATTTAAAAGAAAAATGCTTCACCCATTTCAAAGAAAGAGTGCTCTGACAAACTGCCTCATTACTGGGTCCAAGTTGTCAGCTATTGTGCCATTCAAATGAGGCTTCCCAGAGAACCAAACAACCCCATAATCTCTGAAACATGTAAAATATCAGCAGTGCAAACAAGTGTGCACATAGTACTCACACATTCCACACACAAACATTCACATACTGTACTTACTGCATTTGGAAAAGACAAGTTTACAGATAGAGTTTAAGGCACAGTGACAACACACAAGACTACATTTTGCTAGAGACTATCTGGGATTTAATGCCAGATTATTGGGATGAGCCCCAAACTCATATCAGCAAAACTACCCCCTTGACCATAATCACTCTGATTCTGGATGAGTCTTGATCTCATTGGGAGCTGGAACCTGTGCGCTACATTTATTAGTAACTGGAGTGAGAATTAGCATGCGACTACTCACTGACTATCTCCCATGTAGGTAAATTCAGTGGTAGTGTTATGATACATTTACTAGGTGAAGTGCAGCAAGACAGTTTCCTCAGGTTTTAAAACAAATTGGCCAAGAGAAGGAATCAGTAAAATATATGAATGATAGAAAAACTCAAACAATTTAGGCGGAGAATAAATGTAGTCTCTCTGGTCAAACTTACATTTTTGAGTCTTCTGTTGCTTTCATCTCGCCTAAAATAAAAAAGGAAAAACGGAAATAAGTATCTTTAAAAAAGAATGATGCACCTCAACTACCAATTTACAGTATGACGGCAGAGATAGAGCGCTGTTAAAGGGAAAAGAGACTACAGTGACATTTCTGGCAATCTCATTTGCAATGCTCTACTAATCAGCTACTTATCAAAATTTATAGAGAACAGGCCATCAACTCGAATAAAGCAGCAGCCTGTCAGGCAAAGCTCATACTTTTATAAATGCAAAGCAGCTGTACAGAGACTCACGCACAAATTACAGTATGAACCTTTTTTCAGCTCAGGTACTGCAGGATGAGTACTTTAGTGTGACACTGGGTGTAAATTACAATGTATTTGATCAACTGACAGTACATAATAGTATGAGTTTTAGGAGTGAACCACTCATACAAAAGGTTTTAAGGTTCCTAAACACATTCTAATAAACATGTGTCATATTAGTCAAGTGAATTGAACTTTACAAGTAAAGCCATGCTTCTCTATGCTGGCATGAGCACCTGTAGCTTTGGACAGTTGTACACATACAACACCAACCCTAACCTGGACGTGAAATTGCATCTCAAAGTCAAATGTACCTGAGTGTTGCACGAGTGGACAAGTCCTGCAGGTCTCCTGGATGAAACAGCTGTGACACATTCAGTCCCAGTTTGCTACAGGCTTTCAGGAATACACTCACATTATCCTAGAGATTCAAATTACAGAGACAGAAAAATAAGAGCATATAGAAAACTGGTAGAGGAGGAGGTTGTTCATACTGTTTTGGAGCAACTTGGCACAGGCGAGCTTGTTCTAACTTTACAGTTTGGTCTGATATCTAAAAGCGCCAACAATAAAGAGTACCATTAGGGCTGGGACCACTGATTTCAATTATGTTTTTAATTTATCATAATTATAGTGTCCAATGTTAATTACTTTGACAGTTTTGCACTTGAAAAAAATTCTAATCCGACAATGACATTTGTATAAATAACCGTTGTGACATGATACTTGACGTGCTTTTACTGCATTTATTAGAACCAAAAAAAGGTAACAAACCTTCTCATTTTTAGGTGGGGACCCTTTGCTGAAATGGAACACGTTGGCAACAGATTTTATCAGCTCTTTGCATGGTAATTGGAACTCAGATAATGATGTCACCTGGAAACATTAAACTCGCTCTGCTCGGTGCAGCCTGTAACATCATGCAAGTGAAAAAAAATAAGTCTGCTCAGTCTGCTCCCTCTTGCTCTGTTAGCGGCATAGCTAAATTTTCCCTAAATGACGAAATCTTACCAAAACAAATCAATACTTTAAGCAGTGAAATTGCAAAGAGCTGACAACAGGTTAATTTAGGTTCCATATTATTCAAAATCCTATTTTTCATGTCTTTTCAATCTTAAAATGTGCCCCTGCTGTGTCTAAAGACCCCCAAACCTTGCTATTTTTCTCCTGCTCAGTCTTTCAGTAAATGTGTGTTCAAGCATGCCATTTGAATTTCTCTTCCTTCTTGACATCACGGAGGGATAGGCGTAGCATAGGACCTCGTCGAGCCCTTCAGCGCAGTACTTGGACCAGCCAGCTGAAGACGTACAGAATAGAGATCCTAAGTCCCTCCCCTTCCGGTGGACCACCATAGGACCTTACTTCGGAAAAAATATGTACCATAGTCAATGGCAAGAGACAACTAATTTGACAAACGTGTGTAATTCAGAGCACAGTTTAAACAGGATCAAAAAATAAGATGCCTCTCGCCATTGACTACCGTACATATTTTTGGCCGAAACAAGGACCCATGGGCTGGAAGTGGAAGCGAGTGACTTAGGCTGTCTATACACCGCTCTCTGCCCCACCGTCCAACACACACTAATCAGTCATACCATCGCTGAGCTATAGAGCTGGAGGCTGTTCAGTGTGTCTCACAGAAAGTGCTATTACAGTTATGAAGGAAAGGTAAATTTTTTCTGGTTTTCCCTCGGATGTCCTCCAACTGGTCATTTACAGTGTTTCCTGGTGGACAGATAGCTTGTTGCAAGTGCTACAGTAGCTACTGCAAACTGTAGCGGTCATTATCAGCTAGCTCTGCCTGAACTGGGCGCTCCCAGCAGTCCAAAGCGTAACGTTAGAGGTGAAAACACCAAGCTTCCAGTCCAGTATGGGCAGAATCAGTTAATAGGACAGCATAGCTAAGTTAGCTGGAAGTTGGCCAATCAGAAGAAAGTGGGCTTTTAATAAGGAAGGCCTAAAACAGAGCGTTCATATAGAGGGTGAGTAGAAATGCTGAAGTATGTAAACACAGTCTAGTAGAAACCCCAAATAAAAAGTTCCTAATTATTAGTGTTTTTTTTTTACTATTGTCATTGTAAGTATGCAGCTACCTCTGAAAGTCACACACACACACAAAAAAAAAAAGATTAAAAGGAGTACTTTTAGGTGCACATTAAATGTAGGCTCCTTCACCAAGATAGGGAGGGTTAGTCACATAAGGTTTTGGCATTCTCTAGTGGCAATTCGACAAACTGCAGTATGCGAGTCCAAAATGATACACTGAAAGCATGCACTGTTTTTGGTGTGTAGGATTGGTGCCAATATAATCCACACAAAAGATGGACAGGCAACAAATCTTCGCCACCATTTGCACGAAATTTAGGTTTCTAGGAGAGGACGGGATAGTTCGCTCTGTCTGTAAGTTTAAATCCTCAGTTTTGCGAAACAAATAAAAAAAACCCTGATTTAGTAAGGTTTACCTGCCTAAATTAAAACATGCTTTCACTGGGCGGTAAATAGTTTTGAAAGTTCTGCCAACAGGATCAATATGAACACCTATTTTATGCTTTGGAAAATATCAGCTGTAATGCAAAGTATATTTAATTTGTAGTGAATAGGTTCAAACATGCAAAACGACCAGTATGGTCCTTTAGGCTGTCAAAATTATTGCTGATACTCTGCTGCATCTGCATCTTACACACCACCAGTAACACTCCAGCATCCACTGTCTGTTGATTTTTTGGCCCCTGACGGGAGGTTGCAATTGATCTTCCCCTGCCCTTGCTTTAGGCAGTTTTGGCAATTATACTTCACGTCTATGAAACAGCCTAAACAGCCTAAAGCCAAAATAAAAATCTGCATTTGCATTTATGCCCACTAAAAATAAAAAAAACTTTAGCAACTTTACATATTCAGCCAGCTCTCTGAAATGCAGTTTCAAGATCATTCACATTGTGGCAACACAGTCTCTCTTTGCCTTTAACAGGAAACCACACATTGTGTCAAAACTTCCTGGCTAGCAGATGCCTTATTGTGTTTCCTGCTTATAATGTAATTGGCTCATTCAACTATAGCATTTAAAATGTGGGTTTTAATTGGGTGTAATACAATTGTCTACAGGACTCAAATATTTACAGAGGTATTCTACATTGTTCAACGCTCAAGGGTAAAAGGGTCACCAATGTCTGTGCCACACAGCCAGGCTACATGCACACACACACACACACACACACTCTCTAAGAACTGTAAAATATAACACTCACAAGGCCAGCAATGGGGGTAGAAAGCCTGTTTACTCTCTTAATGATGCCAGGTTTCAACTTGTTGATCAAGCTATAAGTGAAAACAAAACAAAATCAGCAAAGAGCTCATTATTCCAGCTTTGTGATGCGCATATTTGAAAGCCAATATATATTCTGTATCATCAGGGTCTTATTCCACAAAAGAAGCTAAATTAATTTTAATTAATTTTAAAATAACTAATTATCCTGACTTTAACTTCTAATAAAGAAATTACATTAAAAAAAGAAACGCAACAACAAACAACTTGCTTGTAACTTGCTTATAAACCAGTTTTATTGCATCTTCGACAAAGAACCATGAGCTTTAAGCTAACTTCCTTTACTAGACTGCTGAGCGAACCTACTAGCTTAGAAGTGTTGCCCAGATGCCTCTCCTTTATAAAACTTACATAGCTGCTAGCTGATGTTATAACGTTATTTAGAGTGTGCTTTGGAAGAAAATAATACTTCTTACAGTCCCACGGAAAAGATAGTAATGAAACAGAAAGTGTAGGAAACAAAAAAATAAAAAATCTATCTAATGGTCTGTCTCACATGTAAAATATTTTTGTTTCAAGCAGTTTTGGAAATTACCATTTCTTTTACAGTTGGTTCAGTGCTTTTGATGAAGCAAAGCTGCTAAATTAGCCAGACTACAATCTCCTACCATAGATATGCATGTTAATTAAAAAAGTAGAGCATGACTTTGTACAAAACATAGTTTGAGCATCATTACTCACTCGCAAAGCAGGACACCATTCTCTAAGGCAGCACGGAAGTCGTTGCAACCAAATGATTTTCCAGTCACTTCCTAAAAAACAAACACGGTTTAGAATATATTCTTTGCATTCATATTTTGCCACCATCAACTTATGTGTGCTGCTTTCAAATACACCCCTGGGAGGTGCAACACAGTAACCAACAGTTGAACCTAAAAAGTGATTAACACATGGTAAAACCCTACATTTTCAGACTGTTAATTTCCTGAAACTTGCATGCATGCGTTGCTGCAGTTCAATTTTATTTTAATTGGTTAAAATAAAATTGGTTAACAACTGAGAAACTCACATCACACCACTTATAATAGGGTTTTAAAATAGAGCCTGATATTCGTTTTTATGATTTGCTAATATCTATTAGCATATTGGTATTGCCACAAATCAGCTAATAACAAATGTCAGTACAGAAATGCTATGAAAAATTTTAAAAAAAAAAAAGATATGCTTGCAGAAGTGTATAACAATGCAGCTTTGTTAGAGTTTGTCCACCAGAGAGCGCTGACAAGTTTATTTCTCAAAAAAAAATTTTTTTTTAAAAATACCTCAGTAGGTATGATCACAATTCTCAGGGATTGTGTTGATCAAAAATGTTTATGCTACATTAGGGCTGAACAAGTAGTCGAGATGTTATCAAAATCGCAATATTCAAATCGCAGGAGCTAAATTCTTTTGACAATGGTAAAATTTATCACAACAATCAAAGCAAGAGCATTGTGGTGCTACAGAGACCCCCGGCCCCGGTCCAGACGTAAGGGAACATGTTTGGTACAGACCCAAACTCATAGCAATCTCTCTCAAAATAATTGCAATTCAATTTCTTCGGCATATCGTTCAGCCCTATGAAACATATTTCTTCTATCAAACACTGATATCAGCTTTAAAAAGTCCTGTATTATTGTGGCTATATTTTAAACAGACTCCAATATGTCTAAAGCCCAAAAATATCTTTAAACAGAAACAACTCCACTCCAACTACTCCAAAAAAGTAAGGCTTATATAATCTTTCATTCCCACTTATCGAAATGTGTTTTTGTTCTAAATCAAAGAATACAACATAACCTAAATGATTTGATATGGCACAAGCACGCACAAGGCAAAGGGGATTTGTAATGAGGACATAGAAATAGGGCTATTAAGGTTCAGCTCCATAACTAACAGAGGGCCCCAAAAGGCTATTCTTCTCACTAATTAGTCCCCCCAGGAATCCACAATCACAATTTGTTTTTGGTAGAAATGGGCACCGGGCATGGAGTGGAGGCTTTTCAGTGGAATCAGAGAAACAATGCAGTGCCAGGTTAACACAATAAAACCCAATCATGTGGTCAAGATACTGTCTGTTCTACAGCACCAAAACTTTAATTGGTCATTTCAATAAACAATAGCTCCTATCAAACCACAGATTCAATGGATTTCAACCATATGTTCTTAGGGGACTTGCAAACTTCTCTAGACACCCTCATTTGTTAAAGGGAGTTTCCCAAATCCAAAAAGCATCAAACAAAGCAATTATCAAACCTGGGAGGAAAGTAGAGACATTAATGCCAAATGTATGTGATCCAGTTCTAACATGTAGCTGATGGAATAATGTAAAAGAGCTTCATTTGGAAAGTAGACATGCCAAGCATTATCTGATTCCAGCTTCTCAAATATGACTATATGAATCTGTGTCACACTTGAAGGTAGAAGTGATAACCGTCACTTTTTTATAGATAAAACAATTAACTGAGAATACAATTGGCAGGTTAATAGACAATGGAAATAATCACTAGTTCCAGCCCTAGTCAAATTAAAGGAAAACTGTGCTACATTTGAGACAATTTTCTCTTGTTAAGGAGATGGCGTGCATGGTTCTTCAACAGAAGAACACCTGCTTAAAAATTGGACTGTGCTGCTCCTGCTTCATCAGAAACTAAATGGCCTGTTTACATAATATTGAAGAGATCCATTCTTATTTCTTCTCCAGTCCAGTAGGCATTGAGGAAACACTTACGTGTAATTGCTGCTGATACTGTGCTAATGATAAACAGCAACCATTTCAGGACACTTGAATTTATGGAAGCTTATTATCCTGCAATCTGTAACACTGAATATTAGCGCTAACAGATTCCCCAATGTTGTTTGTCACATAAAGGAAGAGTTTATGCCAATATTTACCGTTACTTTAAAAAGCAGCATCCCTTGCTTCCCTCCCGTCTTACACACACACACACACACACACACCTCTCACTGTTCATCCATCCTTTCATCTGCCAGCACAAGGAAAATAGATGGGTAAAACTGGCATGGGCTCACTGCCAAAAGAGCTCTGGACAGAATTCTCATTATGATGCACTCAGGCACAATTGACATTAATGGTCACATTTAAAGTTGGTCAACATTCAGTTCCCAGTCTACAAGTTGTATTCATTGGTTATGATTTAAGGAATACAAATTCTACAGTGTTTGGATATAACAACCAAGAAATTCATTGCTATAAAACCACATCCTCCACAATGTGTGGATGGCAAAACCTGCTATACACAGTGTGCCTATCACGTTAACCACAGTAAGTCTGCAAAGAGCAAGAACCGACTAATCAAAACAACAAGCCACATGAGCAAATATAACCCATCCAGTACATTGCATCTCAGTGGACAGACACTAGGCATGCTGCTGCATATTCAACTCATCTTATCTTTTAAACATTACCTAATTATCTGCCTTCCTTCCATGTGCATTTCCCTCTGAAGCTCTGTGAGTCCTGCAGTCAAATGCTTTTTATCTGGACAACCGCAGAAAATTCTCACATCGGTTTGTATGTGCCTGAGTCTTATCAAGGTGAATTTTGCGTTTGAAGATAAGTCTGTAAAGCCGCAGCACTTTAGTTTTATGAGTACTGAGTCGTTTAAAATGAGTATCAGCTGTTTTTAGTGAGTAAAACGATACAAACAACAAGTAGCCTACTGTTTCATGGCTGCCATGACTGCCACTAATATGAAACATGTCCCGTCTCCTCTCCACAAGGGGTTAGATGACTGACTGGTCTTCATAGTTGCTTGCAAAGGAAAACATATCTGAAGCAAATGACGGAGTGGAGGAACCATGTACCTCAATCCAACGCTGAGCCTCGCTGAACGCATCTTCACAGCTGACACTGGTCTGCTGGCGCCACTCCATCTTTTATCTTCGGTAACAGGCAAAAGGCACAAAATCTAATGTAAGGTCAAAAGAGGTTACATTTTGCTAAACTACTTACAGAGCACAGAAGCCGCCACGCCACGAGGCGAACCACCACCAATCTCATCAAATAAGTTCAATGAATATCAACAAACATTAGGAAAAGTCATATTATTCCAAACAACTGCCCAAGGCAGGTTGGTAAGTCACCTTGTGCTGGGTGTAGCTGCTCACCGGTGAAAGTTCTCCGCTAATTGACATCCAGTTTATCACTGGACACGCCGCCGCACCTCTGCCACCGACGTTCCATCGCTGACAAATTCCGCTTATTGGGTCAAGTGGAGAAGAAGGACTCCGCCCACCTCAAAACTACAAGCAAAGTTTTTGGTGAAGTGAAACCGAGGGAACAGATGCAGAGTCTCATCGGCCCCCTGTTGGGCTGCTGGTGTGTGACACCGTGGTCGGTAGGGAAAGGGACACACGGGATTAACTATACACGGAGCGGTAGACTGGCATGACAAGGCAAGAAAAGTTTATTATAGTGCGTTACCTTAAAAAACACAGAGGCCTACATATGAAAACTAATTCAAAGGCAAAAAAAATATACAAATGAAGATAAAATAAAAACAGTCACAAATACAGGTTTAGCGCAGTAATAAATTGCCCCAAATTCAATGATGGAAATAAAAAGTGCAATAGCGAAATGAATGAATCAAAAGCATCTGCAGTTTCTAGATTTTAGTCCAAATAGAAGCAAATACTCCCAATAACCCAAAATAAAGGATCCATACTGATTTTAACGGCTTAGAAATTTCATATTTTATTTATTTATTTATTTTTGCCAACTAGGCAATCAAATTACCTGTAGAATTATTTATCCATTGTGGTCTGGATGGTGTTTCAAAGACTCAAAACTTATTATTACTTATCCCAGAATGTATCTAATACCCCCAAGCTGCTACAACCTGCAAATTCACAGAAAAATACAGAGGTTGGACATGACCTCAGCTCCTCAGCAGTAGCTATAACCCTGTCTACACATGACCACCTAAAACCTAAGAAGCCTACTTGATTTTTTTGTGACTTCTGCATCTTGAATAATAAATGACCAACGGCCCGCATCGTGTAGTTGTTTGCTGTACATTCAGTGGCCCTTACTGAGCTTAGTTCCTCTCTTCTGGTTGATTCAGACATCTATTCTGATCTCATAGCTACGAAACATAAAATGCCTCATGTAACCCATTAACTTCAGAGGAGGACGAGCATTTAAATGGCACATTTAAACGTGTTAAATAAAATGCTTTCATAGGCTACAGATACAGATATGTAAAACAATATGCATCTGTCAATTGCTTCATTTCTTTTATCCCCACATTCTCTGTCCAACCTTGTAAAGATAGCAGCAACCTGATACTGTATGCAAAATATGATTATGTATTTCAAGGGCAGGTGTCTTCACTCTCTTGCCTTTCATACTGACATAATGAAGCATGGCCTGTGTCAGTTTCATTTTCACACATGAACTGCAACTGTCTATGAATAGAAAATTGTTTTCTTTTTGTGTTTTACACATTTGAAAAGAAGAGCATAATACGAATCTGGTGGGGACGCCTCATCTTGCATTACAGCACATGCTCACTCTAATCCAATTTCCTGCCAAATGCCCAAGGAGGTGCACTATATAGGGAACAAGGGGCAGTGATGGAATCACAGAATTTTAAAGTAAAATGAGGTTCAGCAGTGTAGCAGTGTAGGACACGGTGGAAACTTTAATGAGCTGCCTTTTAAGAACATTATGTGAATCAATAATCTTTTTTAATTTATTAGCTTAACCATGGGAAATTAAAAGATAATTTCCTGCACCTTCTGGTTGTATTATTACTCCAACAGAACAATAGGGATTATCTTTTGTGCTTTAACCTTCAATCCTTTGGCTCACTTTTGAAAGTAAAAAATACGACTGAAATGTTCTGAAATTTGATTTAAGTGGTTTGCCACTCTATGCACAAAACATCATTACAAATATATCCCAGGACACATCTACGTGTATGGACATGTAGGCTGTGATTGAAGTAAAACATTTTTTACTGTTACTGCAAATCTGAGAATTGACTGTGGTATTAAAGTGCAAAATGTTCTGTTCATCTTTTTGTAGTGCTTGATATTTGCTTGAATTATCTTACTGTAGGTTGTAAGATGCCTGTCATGTTCATATCTATGTCTTTATGTGAGATTTTGACAGCAGCTCTGTCTTATGTGTCAGTATCATACTCTTTCAAAACAAAAGGAAAAAGTACCACCTCTGCACATGTGATGCTAATTAATCTTGAAACTGAAGAGCGGCACACTTGAGAAAACAGATTTCTACTCATCATCTTCATTACAGGAATGACGGTTTGTTGCACATACTGATTTGCTGCTGATTAGATGAGCAATAAGATTAGCCCGCATCAGTATGAACTACAACGATGCACAATTGTACTGTTCCTGTGATAATTCATTAAAGTTCTGTACAAAATGTGATCTGACATGTGTTTAGTATGTCAGTTATGTTTGCTCAAGAGTACCTTGAGTTGAGTAGTTTGATAGATGCTGAGAAAAGAGCCTGAATGTATGGCCATAATCTTTAACTCTAGACTCTATACGCTGATAGTGCCCAGTACCACATGTACATTAAGTCAAGGAGACAGTGTCAGGCTGAACAGGTGTAGGATTGTCCTTTGATAGTGATAGGGTAGTTTGGGGTAAGACACCCTCCCTGAGCTCAATGTCTATTTGCTGACACATAAAATAACATTTTATTGATTTTTTTGTATCTTTAAGGAGGCTATGCTTAGGGTAACATATTATAAAGTAAAATAAATAGCTACAGTTAACAAATTAATTTGTATTTAATCAAATTGGTTTGCAATTGTTATTTGGAATAGAATTTTTTATTTTGTGTTACATTTACTATGCACAATGGCATTTCTGTTCTCGCAGCTGTCAAAGTTTGCATTATCTTATCTTAGAGAAGGAACGACTTACAATGAGCATGAACAGCAAAAAAAGTGGAATGTAACAGAAAACACAATAGTACAGCGATGAAATGCATTTCATGTTATTTGTGCCAAGTTTTTCCTATGAATACATCACCTTATCAGAGCAGAGAGAATTATCTAATGCATTTATTTATTACTACCAGTAGGTGTTGCTGTAACTCTGCATGTACATGCATCATTTGGGGTGGGGTTGGGTTGGGTGGGGTGGTGGTGGGGTGGCTGATGGCTTGGTATTGGGTTGGAGACTGGGGATGGTAGACTGAGTGAAATGGACAGTGACGACAATCTGATTTGCCCTCACATGAAGCAGTTGTTTCCCATATTTCCCATTTGTCTGTCCCCCGGGGTCTGGTCCAATGTGAGGAGAGTGATGTGATACTGCTTGAATACTCAGTTTTCAATTACATCCACTATCGTTGCTGTTATCAACAGCAGCAACATCAACAGCTTATCTCCTTTCCATTATTTTCCAGATAGAATTTGAATTGAAAACCAAGGGCGTTGGACTTACACTCTTAACACTTAAAAAGACACATTTAGAATATTTTTACACAGACATGTGTATTTTACATATTTTAACCATACTGACTGCCAAAACCTTCCTGTGACCGTTGGGCCTAAATGTGGCTGTGCTGTTAATGTAAAGGTGTGTATAAGCAGAATTTGTGAATGATCTTGTGCAAGAACAAAAGTGCTTTTGCAGTGTTCAATTTACTGTGGCTATTACCTTTTAGTATGGTTGCTGCCCAGTGTGTTCATACATAGAATCTATGTATTCAAATTGGTCGACATTATGGTGTTTAAACATAATAATGAAATCAAGCTTTAATCTAAGTTATCTCTTAGTGGATTCTGGTTACTTTAAAGCTACATTTTCTTGAGTGAAAATATTTAATTATACTTAATTTAAAAATTTAGCCTATGTATAAAAATTGCAGTTAAAAATAGACAATAAGAAAGAATTTGTTCATTACATTGTGTAAAATTGCATGCATGTTCCGGAATTATGGAAATTGCACCACAAAACACAATATTGGTAAAACATAAGCATAGTAAAGCCAATGGATAAGAGTTTTGATAGTTCTCTTTTTCTGTCTTGTCCTTGCTTAAATGCTTTTCAATTGCATCTACAAATTAATTGATGTGTGTGTGTTAAAGTATTTATCAGTGCAGCAATTAAACCATACAATATAATGCACCATTAGCTTCAGTCTCACTCCAACCCCCATCACTGTGGCATCAACCTGATATGTCTGTATGCATACCCAAAGTACTTACTGTACTGTATTATATTAGCTATTTTACACAATGAGTGAGAGCTGCTGTAGTAATGTTATACTTAGTGCGGACTGCATTAGTGATTCATTAGGGTCATGGTACTCAAATCTGAGATCATTAGCTGGAGGGTCTGCCTACGGTGCAAGATGGATAGAGAGGTTAAAGTCTCCCCTTACACTATGAAAGTAGATGTGGCCATTTATTACACAGATAAAAAAAAAAGATTTTACAGATTTTGCATACAAAAACAAAAATGTGCATATTAATTTACTTAATTAATTTTCTATGTTTGAAAAACTGAAAAATTTTAATAATATACTGTACTGTACTAGTAGGCCATGCAGAGATGAGTGAGTCTATGACAATCATTTTAATAAGGATAAACAATAAGTATGGGGAGAGCAATCCGCTCCAAACAGCTGGAATGCTATCTTGTCATTAGGCAGTATGATTATGACCAGTAACAATGAGTAAATATTTATGTGTATGCGTGAAGTGGACTAATAAAAGGTGAAAATTGAAGCCATACACTGCAGCAACAATGTGGGCTTATTGGCTGTTAAAACTGCTCTCCTGCTGTTATCCTTTCACAGGTAATATATTAGGTTTTTCACAACAACACCACAGGTTTAAGGCTGCAATTCAGGGTCTTTGAGCCAGCAAGCCAACACAATATTTCTCCTCTCCATAATGTGAACTAAACCATGAATGACAGAATATAAACAAAGGATGCAGACTGTTACAGACGAAAACGAAAAGAAAAATAATTCATTTCCTTTGTTTTTTAATGGTTCCTTTAGCAAAAGCTTTAAGGCTCAGGTTTATTATTTAGCTTCTTCACCTCCACTGCCCTCTCCTCCCCAGTGCTTGGTGTGTATTGTTCCTGCCAAGGTCTGAAACATTATCACAACAGGATGTGGGCTGGGAAAACACTGAGAGTGCTTCCTCTGCAGTGCCAGTCACCTGGGAGATTCTTCAATTATCATTGCATTTTAATGTAACT